AGGCTTGCAAATTGTGTAGCCTTTTATTTAGTTTATTTGTGTAGCCTTTTATTTAGTTTCTTTCTTATGCACATAATTTCAACTTAAAAAAAATATAATTCTGTAATAAAAATACTATTGCATATATACAACATCCAGTGTATTCTCCTGGCTTGATTATATTATTGTGCTACTGATTATTTGTGAATAAGGTAAGACCATTTTGTTATTATAAATAATTGTTCTTTCATTATGCTATCATAAAAGTGGAATATTCAATTTCTTTCAAATATTTTGTATGAGCAGAACTGCATGCAAGTAAGAGTAAATTTAATGGCCCAACCCTCTTTTTTATCTTAAAGCAGCTTTGCATCATGACACAAGCCCCGCCCCTTTGCAAAATTGCACAGTGAGTAGAATATTAGTAATGACTCTTCTAGATTGCAAGATATGTATTATTGCAACAAGTAATATAACAGAAAATTGAACCCGTGGGCTCTTTCACTGACATGATCCATACTCCCATCATTTTCACAATATTGTAAAAAGGTAGAACTCATACCAAATGTATAATAATAATAATTTTTATTTTGCGGTCACAGACCAAAATTCAAGTGCAACAAAAGAAAACACAAGAGAAATATAATCACAAACAATTAAACACCAGATACCAAATGTTAATAACTGGGTTCTTCCCTCCACCCACAAATGTGAATTTTTTTCAGAAACTGCTCCATTTGTGGTTATTCGAAGAGCAAGTGTTTTCATTCAGAAATATTGTGAGATGTGTTTGTGAGGAGTGCATTCTCCAGACTACACTGTGTTAAAGTGGATCTTGTCACATCCACCTTAAATGATGTTCAGGTACTCAGTTGCTTCTGCTTTTTACTTATCTGGCTGGTTTGCAAGGAATTGTGGTGTTTTTATGATGGACAAATAGATGGGAAGCCAAACATGATTTTTCCCCTCATTATTTTGGTAGAAATTCATTTCACTATACAGTACTGACGTTAGCTACCCAGGTTGGTTCACACATTCACAGAATTTGAACCACTTTTTTTCCTGAAAAATATGCTTGTTTTGGCAGAAGAGACAGATTCTCCCCAGAGACTGCTCTTTGGAAGAACTAAAAACAAAACCCCACAAAATCACATTTCCTCCTGACTAATTTATATCTCCCTCAAGTATGTATAAGCTTGATATTAAAAAATTGGCTATAGTCAAACAATATTTTTTTTCAAAGAAGGCCTTCCCACTACCCTCTTCCCTACATTTTGAACTATTCAGATTTAAAAGGGAAAGACAGTCTTGTTCATTCTTTTACTTAAAACATATTTTAAGAATTTAAAATTACATGAAGACAGCATATCAAATGAATTAAATTTCATTTAGAGTTACACGCACAACACACACTTAGACAGTTTTCCCTCTGGGTGAGAGTAAATCAGAGAGCTATCTTTTTTTTTTACAGTAGCCTTTTACTTCAGAAAGGATTTTTCTCTCATTAAACAGCTATCAGCACAGGCACCTCATTATTATTAAGTTATTCCTTAAAAAGTCAATTGAACAAGGAACAACTGAAATAGCAACAATCTTTTATAACTTATTTTCCATTCCTATGTGGGTGTGTATATGTCTCCTTTTGGCTATATTAAATATATATATTTATATATATTTATATGCTCCTAGAAGCACGAAGCTGAAAACACCAGCCTGAAGATGACGAATGGGACTTCGCCGAAACGTCACCAAGACACTTCCAATTTTACGTGACCTACATACAAACACCTGCAGAAACCTCAGAAAACATATATATATTTATGTTATATATATGTTTTTTCAAAATTTGGATTGCTAACAAAGAATTAAGGGAGAACTGGAATAGCCATTTTGAACTTTTTAGTTCTTTTCAACCAGACATACCCTTCTGAGATTTGAACCTGGGCTGTCTGCATGTTAAGTAGTTGTATTAACCTCTAGGCCACAGGCTCTTTCTCACTTTGTCAGCTATGAGACAGGGGAGAAGAATTATCTTGAGTTTGGTGCACCCTGTCGGCCCAAATATGGGAGAAAGGAATATACTAAATTTATTAGAAATTAAAATTAAAAAGATACCAATTAAAAGAAATGAATGAAGAAAAATAGAACTGCAGAAAAGGAAAAAATAAGCACATATATAAGGAATATGTAAAGAAAAAAATAGATCAAAGAGAAAGGAAAAAAGAATAAAAGTAAAGAAATAAAGAAATGGCTTCCTCCTTTATCACAAGTATAAACAATTTATCATCTTCCCTTAAAATACAGCAAGTGATCTCTTCTTCCTATATCTTATCTATAAACAAGTCCTGTAAAGTCTTGTCTTTCAACCCAGATCAGCAAAAGTTCTTTAAGGTTACCAGAGATAATAACATAACAATTTTAATATTAATTAAACAATCAACTTCCTTTTACTTTTAACAATCTCTATCTTTAGTCCTGTCAAACAATGTCCTAGAAGTTGATTTCTTATATTTTTTATTTTATCCCTTTTCACAAAATTTTTCAAAACTTTAATAAGTCTTTTATAAATTCAGTATAGAAAAGCTATTCAGGTGACTCCTTTGGTTTATCATGTTTTTAAGAGAATTTAAAATGCATTTTTCCACAGGAAGAATTCCTATAACTAAATTCCAAAATCTTATTTCTAAACTATCTGGACCCTTAGTCAATTTGTAACTTTCCAAAAAAAGTTCCAATCACCCCTTTTTTTGTTTATTCTAAAATACTAGACTTGTATTTAAAACTCCTTTCTCTAAGGATTGAAGGAAACTTACCCAGTGCTATAAAACCTGCTGATCCAAAGATTCCTAATAGCTGAAAAGCAGTTAACAATTTCCAAAAGTGATGAGAAAAAGAACTATGCAAACCCACTGTTCTTTTAAAAGCAATGAACAGAGTTTGAGCAAAACTGACTTTCCTACATCTCCCTAGAGCTCTAAATCAGGGGTCTTCAAACTTGGCCTTTTTATGACTTGTGGACTTCAACTCCCAGAATTCCTCAGCCTGGCATGAAGTCCACAAATCATAAAAGGGCCAAGTTTGAAGACCCTTTCTAAACCCTCCAGAGACTGTAGTCTTGGGGCCTTCTCACAAGAAGCAATTATGGGCTATCTCAAGTCCATTCTTTCTCCAGAAAGGAAGTACTAAGAGCTGGTCTACTCCCTGGCTCTTTATTCTGCTACAGTTGTTGCTGAGAATGGATCCAACTTCAGTTCAGCATTTCTTCCCTAGAAGTCCCTTGCTTTTAAAAATTGCTAAGAAAAATTCCATTGATATTTTGAGCTTCCATCACCAAATTGGCTCACACTCTCCTTAGAGGAGAGAACTCTTCAGATACAAAGGGTTCTACAAATTCCCCTTTCCTCTTGAAGCTTAATCTTGTTTTTCTCTAAAACAGCACTCAGTATGTAAATCACCTAGTTTCCTATTCTCACTCAGCTCCAGCTTGGGACAGGATGAGGGGCATTAATAGAAGGAGTGCCCCCAAAATGGAGTTGTTTGAGAGAAGGAAACTGTTTTCAACCTCATAGCAATGTGCTTGCATGCAGGCAACTATTCTGTCATTTCAGTGCAAGCAGTTCTTGCTTACCAACTGTCTGATTTAGCGACCATTCAAAGTTATATGATAGCGTAAAACAAAACCCCAGTTTTGTGACTAATTCTTACATTTATGACCATTGCAGCATCCTGCAGCTCCATGATCGCCATTGACATAGATTCATAACTGGTTTCCAACAAGCAGAAATAAGCAAGGAGTAAAATCACAAATTGTGATCATGGGATGTCTCACTTAATGATCCTTGCACTTAGCGATGGGCCCAAGGGAACAATAGCCAACGACTTAATAGCCAGCTATCAACACCCCAATCCACACCTAAAAAGCCACCTACAACAGTCACCATCTAAATACTACACACAAAATAGCCCAACGCACACACTCTGCTAGAGAGAAGTTTCCTGAGGATGGGCTCCAGCATGAGTCCGAACGCACTGGTCCCCGTGACTGACCCAGATTGGATCCTGCAACATTATCCTGGCACACATGTATTCACCTTCATTCGTCTTAGCCAGGGGTCCTCGAACTTGGCCACTTTAAGCCTGGGGAATTCTGGGAATTGAAGTCCACAAGTCTTAAAGTGGCCAAGTTTGAGGACCCCTGGTCTTAGCGATGGAGTTGCCAGTCCCAGATATGGTTGCTAAGCAAGGGCTACCTGTACCCATTCTTGCCTTTCCACCCTACGCATTCCCTTCCCTTTGCTCATGAGAGGCAACCTGTGGGCTACATGCTGTTCACCCTGCTTCTCTCTGTCTTATTTCCAGAGCTATCCAAATAGCGCTTCCCAAACCCAGCCCTAGTTCGCTGAATTATAAGAACAAGATTTTTCATGGTGTTTTTTTTTTTAAATACGCAAGCCTCAGGGTCGTTGCATTAAGCCTCCCGTTGCATTAATACAGTATTCTATTTTAAAAGCAAACCTGAAAAAAGAAAAATAAAGGCTTAACAATTTAGCTCCCACTCCTCACCATGTCGCTACCATATTCCACCTAAGATGTCAATCTCATATAGGCTAAAAAAAATTTTTTAATAATGTAATCCCTGACTGCCAAATCAGTTGCTCCCCCCTCACTTAATACACCTATAACACACATGTATCACCTTAGTCTATCACTCCAAGGTTGTTTCTCCATTCCTGATCTGCTTCCAAGATTCAGGGGGTCAAAAGTAGAGGAAACAGCTTGAGATAAATCAGCAGGAGGTAAGTAAGATATAGAAAAGGCTGTCCCCCAACTTTTCCTTGCTTGAGGTGAGTGATATCCTCCCGCTTAGTCAAGACCCCACATGTTTCTCCTTCTCCATGATTGTAAAGCTGCAGTAAGGAGAAGTGATCCATATATGACGATTTACAGCCCTTGCATGATATGGAAAATGAACTGCCTGTCTCTGGCTAGTGCTAGGGCCAGCCACAGAATGTGAAGGATAAGTGTAGGGCGTTTAATTTTCTGACTGAACCTCCCTTAAAGGAAAGTCATCAAGGACACATTCTAAGCCAGCACCCTACCCCTACGTAAAAGAAGGGGAAGACCGCTTCCCCATTGAATGGGGCTGAGAAGAAGGTGAATATATGTGTTTGGTGAGTGACGTCATGAAAGGCAACTAGTTGCATCTCATAATCCAAGTAAACCCCCAGTTTCCTGGGCTTCTTCTTCAGAATCAGGGGGATCTTGGGTAGAGTGAGAGCTTTGTATTGGATCCGATCCTTTCCCACTGCCCAGATTCCTTCTTCTGGGACAAGGACGAGCTTTCCCTTCCTCTTCATGGAATTTCTCGCCACCCCCAAGGCCCAGTACCCATCCTCTCCAACTTCTACTTCCCAATAATGCTTTCCGGAGGAAAACCCCTCCCTTCCCAGGACGCAGCGATCCATATTAAATCTTTTAGGACTGTACGGTAGGCTCTGCCACATGAATCCCTGTATGACAGTTCTTTGATCTGCAGACAGGATCAGGTCGTGGTTGGCTGTTTCTGGATCCAGAACTATGTTTGCTGAGAGGAAAAGGAGAAGTGGGAAAAGAGAAAGAAAGGAAAGAGGAAAAGGTTAACCTAAAAGAAAATGCTGCAGTTGCCCCCATTCTTAATTATAACGAGGAAGAGAAATTGATCAGCACATAGATCTTATTTTGAAACAACTTTTAGTGCTTATCCCAGTAAGCGAACCTTTTAGAGACCGAGTGCCCAAACTGCAACCCAAAACCCACTTATGTAGTGTCGGGTGCCGGGTGGGTGTGGCCAATTGGGTGGGTGTGGCCAATTGGGTGAGCATGGCCCATTGGGTGGGCATGGCTGCGGTGGTAACGGCAGACTGTGTGGGACTAAAAAGTTCAATCAATCAATTCCAACTTTGCAAGATCTTTTTTTTCCTCGCAAGAAGTTGAAATTGATTGATTGATTGAACCTTTTTTTTTTTTTTGCACACGGCAACGGAGGCCTAAAGCGAAAAGGTTTTATAAAACCCAGCTGGGGCGACGGTGCGTGTGCTCACAGAGAGGGCTCTGCGTGCCACACGTGCCATAGGTTCGCCACCACGGGCTTATCCCATTAAAAGACCCATTTCCAAGGCTGTACCAAGTCTCCCTAGATCTATTTAGATGAATAGCACGGCATAGTATGAATGACACTTCCCTGGACTAAATTGTGCAGCAAAACAAGGAGGTAGTATCTTCATGCCTAAACACAATAGGCTTCTATTATTTCATTTGAAATAAAATATACAATATATTTGCTATCTAAGTATATACTAAGTAGGTAAGTATGTCGTATTTTATACTTACCATCTAATTTTTTGGAAGTTTTTTATTGCACTTTTAACTGTATGTCGATGAAGATTCTCAGACATCCAGGTAGAATTGTCTGGCAGTTGAGTCATGGAAGCAACACGACTCAACAAGAAGGAAAAAAAAAAAAAAGAGTCCAGTTGCCATATCTCAATTTCCAGACAATTCTACCTGGATGACCGAGAACCTTCACTAACATATTGCCACACACTTTGGGAAAGAAACCTTGAGGTAGTGCGGGAATACTCCTAAGACTTTTAGGAGTATTGCAATGACTCTCTGCCTATTCAGATTCTCCTAACCAATTTGTTCAGGGTGAAGATGCTGCTTGGATGCGCAGTGAAACATCTCAGAGAGAGAGAGAGATCTGAGAGAGAGAGAGAGAGAGAGAGAGAGAGAGAGAGAGAGAGAGAGAGAGAGAGAGAGAGAGAGAGAGAGAGAGTCCAGTTGCCATGACTCAACTTCCAAACTTTAGTATGTTTTCATATTATTTTATGATGTGCTTATAAACTCCCCAAAGTCACCTAGGTGAGCTGAAGATGTAAACATTGGATAAATAAATAAAATGAATAAAAAAGTTTTAAAAAATGCAGCTACCTGTTAAGCTCAGAGCTTAAAATTAGCTATTTGCACAATTCATGAAGAGGTCTTTACACAGGGATGATAGGGCTTCTATGGAAGTCCCTTGTGTAAGTCCCTGCTTAAAAAAAAAAAAAGAAATTTCCCTATGGAATTTCTGTAAAGAATTATATCAAAATCTCCACTAATGTGTATTGTGTTTGTCACCGAAAAATGCAACTGGGCTTATAGTACTTGATTCCTTTACATGTAAATGCCAGAACTCAACACACGACAACACTTTTGAATTAAAAAAAAAATATTCCTTGGAGTAAAAACCTCATTAAAACTTGATGTAAAAATTCAGTTTCAGAGATTAGCACAATAATGATGGAATTTACATTTTGGAGTGATAACAAACAGGACAACCACCAACCTTTTTCTATTGGCATCACCATGTTCCTCCAATCTAAGAACAAGAATAAAGATTAAAATAAATCAAAGGAACAGTTTAATATTGAAAAAATAATTTAAAAAACAGCTGTTCAAAGTCACTACAAAGTGGTTTTCTTTCTGCATCATTAGAACATAGCAGGCCCAGGTGCCTTTAAGTTTTAGGGCCTCCTCGATCCAATGTTTTTCTATACAAATTTAAATCATCATCACCATTGTCATCGTCGTCGTCATCTTTTGGTTCTGAATGAAGTTGCCCCCCAAAAACGATCTGGGGGTTCTCCTGAACTCACAGCTTCTGTTAGAAAAGGAGATGGCAGCAGTGGCCAAGAGGGCTTTTGCAAACTTCATTTTATGAATCGTGCATCGCTTCCTAGACTTGGAGGCACTGCTCACATCACTCATGTCTTGATCATCTCCCAAGTGGATTACTGAAATTAAGTGGGGCTGCTTTGAAAGATCATCTAAAAGCTGCAACTAGTCCAGAATGTGCCAATATGAGCAGTTATGGGTGTACCTCAATACATGCATGTTATGCCCTGTTTTCTCTACAAGTTCCACTGGCTCCCAATGTGCTTACAAAATGGAATTCAAGATGTGGTTGAATGTTTTCCAAGGAAAAAAATTAAGACAGTCCAGTTGCCTTTTAGAAAAAGCACTTTTGGGACAACCGTGACCCGGAGAATTGAGAATCTCCACAGAAACGTGGTTGTCACCTATAAAGCCTGGATTATTTATAGGACCTCCATGTCAATGCTGCTAACATTGGATGTTCTTGCTTTGACAAAATATGAAGAGGCAGCCACTCTCTGTATAAGCTGTGTGGTATTTTTAGAGTTAAATTAGATGATGTTGGGAGGGGAGGAGAAAGAATGTGTGTGGGGATTAGTTAAGATAAGAAACCATGGAAGGGAAACTTTGCCCTTCAAACTGATTGGAGAAGTGAATTATGACTGCTAATTAGAGGAGGGAATTATGCTTGAATATTAGGGGAGGGGAATTCAGATCTTGGCATCCATCATGCTGTGCCGACACTTTGTTTCACGATTAAAGACTTTTTAGGATAAACAATGCCTGAAAGTTCTTTGAAGTGTTTCGTTAGTCGGAACCTTGACACTCAAGTTGTTTCTCTCAGGTCCTACAGGAGAGATACTGTCCCGGTCCCCACAATTAAAGAATGCCATTTTAAGGAAGTATGTCATTTCTGATGTAGTACCTTCCCTCTGGAACACCCTATCTCCCAAGATTAAATTAATGCCAACTCTATCAGCCTTTCAGAAAGCTCCAGGGCTTGGAAGATGGGAAACTACATGTGATATCATTGTTCTTGATGGAGCATTCATTGCATTTCTTTTGGGTAACCATTATAAATTTTATGCTTCTGCTGTTGCTGGGTTTTTTTTCCTGTTTTTTAATGTGTTAGATGCACCTAAGTCATATTTGGGCTATGGGTAGCCATATAGATTAGTTTAATAATGATTATTTATATTTAATAATTATCTACTATAATTTATCAAGGGAAGTTGAGAAATTGTCCGGGGAAAGAAGAACAGAGTTTTACTGCCTATAATATTTCTATTTCAGTGTCCACTTAAAAAAATTGTGAAGGATTTTGAAAATCTTTTGAAGTATAGTGTTACATTTTTTTAAAAAATTCACCTAAAGGAGTGATCAATAATAAAATTACATGCTTTGCTCATTGAAATTTAATCCCTTCAGATAACAGGATTAGAATTTTTTTACGACTCTTATTTGAAACCATGGAAAAGGCTGAATGTCACACCATAATGATTGAGATAATTGGGCTTGCTTGTTGGTAATTTTCTGAAGTGCACACTTTGTTCCTATCAGCAGATATTTTGCTACAGACTTTTATTTGTCCCGTTCTGTTTTGTTACACAGAGTGACAATTTAACAAAAATGTAATTAAATTGATATTCTTCCTTTTCCATGAAAGAGCCGCAACTCAACACCGAATCACCTATAATACCCATATTATACATTAAGGAATGCTTAATCTCACTGGAGTTGATGTGTTGATAACTTCTGTATTAGATTGTGGCCCAAATGTTTTTCTCAAAAAACAGAAGAAGAAGAAAAAGAAAATTACTTACTCAGTTCAGTGACCAGCTTTCCTAGAATACAAGAAAACAAAAATAACTTATTACTGTACTGCTTACTGATGCAGAAAACATAAATGTGTGACTTTAACTCCTCCCCTCAGGACCTCATTATAGGGCATTGCATGCCAAAACAACTACCTTAGACACAAAGACAATTTTCCCCCCATGGGATCACTCTGCTAAACGCCTAATTCCCACAGTACTGTCTTATGCCTAAGGATATTTACCCATGTTATCCTTCTCATCTTGCCTATTACCTTCTCCTATTGGTATCTTATGATTTATCACTTTGTTGTTTGTATTTTATGATTTATTATTGTATTTTATGATTTATGATTTATCACTTTCTTGTTTGTTATGTACACTAAGAGCTTATACGCTGGAAACAAATTCTTTGTGTGTCCAATCACACACAAGAATATCCTATCCTATCCTATCCTAGCCTAGCCTAGCCTAGCCTAGCCTATTCTTTGCCATTATTATTTATAAATAAAGCCAACTGGTATTCCCTAAATCTTTGTAGAAATAATAAGGAACAAAATAGCAGCTAAACATAATCATCATTCAATATATAACATAATAGAAAACTAATCAAGAGCCAGCAAAGAACTTTTTCATTCATGTTACACTGTTGATGGATTGATCTTTTGAGTTATTCCTTTAAACCAGTGGCTTTTAAAATATGGTCCGAGAATCCCCTTTGATAATTATTGAAGATATTTGCAGAATTTTAAAACAATGTTTGCTTTTTATTACAAAATATGTTCTTATTTTAAGAAAAATTTATTAAATTTAAAAGATAAATGGTTAAAATACAAAATTACAACAAAAAAAGAAAAATTAGGGGGCAATAGAGAATGTTTAGTATAGGTTTTTCATGAAAGATATTTATGTTAGTATGTTGGGTTTGATATTCCTTTTACTTCATTTAATAAATAAATATTCTACAAAGATATACATTTAAATTTTTAATATAGTAAATATTGATAAATATAACCTATATAAACAAAGCTCTTTTGGAGTCCTCCATAATCTTTAAAAGTTCAAAAAGATTCTTTGAGCAAAACGTTTAAGAAGCAGTGGTTCAAACCGTGGGTGGACTGGATGACCTATCTGCCACTAGATGGCAACAAAAAAGGTTTTCTTTTGCAACTGTTGGCTGCCATCTAGCGGCCAACTATTTTATGCAGCTGAGATAAAGTTGTTGAGGAATTGAAATTTAATTAAGGGTTAACTGTGAAGATCCCTGTGGGAGTTGTAAACTATCCTAAGAACATAACTGAGGAGAGGAAGTAAAGAACAAGAACCTTGGTGTGTGCTGAGGCCATTTTGCAATGGCTCCCTTAATATCATTAATATAACGGTTAATATCATCCTGCTTTTGTTTTGCTTTGTATTAAGTGCTGTATGCCACCCAGTGTCACTTTCATGTAAGAGGGGTGACTACATAAATATGATAAATACATAAATAAAATTGCCTGCTAGGCAGGCTACAGGAGTACCAAAGCTGAGTCTTTTCCATTACATTTTTGGTTCTACACATTCAGCCTAAAATGGGCGAATCAATTTCAAGACTAGAAGGACCAGTTAACCAACCTGTTGAGAAACAGTAGCTATAGAAGCCAAAATTCAGTTAACCTTGCAGCCAAAAGTGGAGCGAGGACTGGGTGAAGGAGGGAGCGACAGATTGAAGGGGAACCAGGAACCAGAAGAACTACGAGACTGCCAGCATAGGACACATCATTTCAGGCCATCTCCCTAAATATGCCTTCTGGAGCAGAGCACCTACACCAGGGGTGGCTGGCTCAGGAATTCTGGGAGGTGAAGTCCACGAGTCATAAAAGAGCCAAGGTTGCCTACCCCTGCCCTACACCATCCTTAGTGGCAGATGAATGCTAAGGTTCAAGCAAAGACATAAAAAGAGTAATGTGCCATGTTTGCACTGAGGCAAGAAGATTAGTGGATTTACTCTTAGAAGGCCAGGAAGTCAAAAGAGAAATGTAGTGTTCCAATCTATTAAGAAACCCTCATTCCAACCAAACACAATTACTGTAACCGCAGGGCTAACTGACAATTAACTGTGCAATAGCCCTACTTTTATGCGGTAAAAGGACAGTTTCCTATGTACTCACTGTATTTGTTCAGTAGGTAAAAAATAAATATAGCGAATCCAACCACAGCCATTAGGGAAAAACATAGAGCTACTATCCAGGATGATATTTTGGGGAAGAGGTGATCTGGAAAAAATGAAAGAAATAGAGATGAATCCATTTTAAAGCATCCTTGAAATATTTGGAAATGCTCTGCTTTTGTCTTTCCTATCCCTTCTGCTATGATTCACGTTTCAGGAACATACGCCTTAACCTGTACCATACACCCCATAATCTAAACCAAGGCTTTTCAACCAGTAGTACGGGTACCACCTGTGGTACATTGGCACCTGGCAGGTGGTACACGACCATCCTAGAAAAGTGGTAGCGGGGGAGGGGAATGAGCTGAACCAGTGGCAGCACCGCACAAGCCTGAGCGAGAGATGGCTGGAGCTGCAGGGCTGTCAGGGCTCAGCGGAAGCGCCAGGATCAGCGCTTCTTCGGGACTGTCAGGGCTCAGTGGAAGCACCAGGATCAATGCCACTTTCCAGCTGATCGGCGCTTCTTCGGGGCTGTCAGGGCTCAGTGGAAGCACCAGGATCAGCACCAGGCTCCAACTGGAGTTCTGCACTGATCCTGGCACTTCTGCTGAGTCCTGAAGAAGCACCAATCAGCTGGAATGTTGCAGCATCTCCAGGGTCTTGTGATTTACATTCAGATGCTTGGCAACTAATTCATATTAATGAGGGTCACAGTGTCCCAGGGTCACCAAAACCTGCTGCAACCATCCAGCAGACGGGGGGAATAAAAACCAAACACCCCCCACCCCACCCCCGCTACCAATCCTCAACAGAAATGCTCACAACAATGAAAACCTCGGACAGGAGGAAGAACGCTGGCTGGCGGGCAGGCAGGTGTCTTGCTCAGCTGTGGCTTGGGGGGCACTTTTTTCAGTGCCATTGTAACTTCAAACAGTCACTAAGCGAACTGTTGTAAGTTGAGGACTACCTGTACTTCATCACTTTTTTCCTTTCCTTTTTTTTTTTGGTCAAGTTTTTGACCCCTTGCTAGGCGACTGGTGGTACTCGGATGTTGCCATATCCTAAAAGTGGTACCATGGGTGAAAAGGTTGAAAAGCCCTGATCCAAACTATGCCCACTGATTCAGATAAATACATGTTCCTTAAATCTTCCCCAATGTTTTTCTTCTCAAGATTAAAAAAAAAAAGAAAAAGAAAAGAATGCAAAGAAATGTGCTACATGCACTCATTTAAGATTTTCTTCTTGGAAGGATGTCTTTTATAACTCTTCATTGACTCTGAGTTTGCCCTAAACAAGACATGGGCACCACCTGCAAATCTGTCCAATTTTGAATCTCAGACCCGTACGACTGCAAAGCCCGATCTCTAAAACAGAGACCGGCTATTAACGGTTTTTGTTTACTCACTTGTTATGTGGATGGTTGATTCTTTTTCCAGGTCGAGGAGGCTGTTTCTGATGACACAGGTCAAGTTTGAACTTCCTTTTAGAACGATGTCGGCTTGTACATCAAATGTCCCATCTTTTCTTTGTGAATCTTTTTTTGCCAATGAAGACAGAAGCCTCCCGTTGAGCTCTCTCCACAGGACCTCTGGCTTTGGATACCAGCCACCGGAACGACAAACCACTCGGATCCCTCCGTCCTGATAACCTTCAATGGAAAGGAGAGGACCAGGCCCTAATGCTAGATGTGGGACAAATATGCACATTTTAAGCGTTTTCAGGCTGTTCCAAAGATGGGCATCCTGCAGACCCAGGGAAATCTGCAACCCTAAAACCCCTAAGTCAGTGTTTCTCAACCTTGACAATTTTAAGGCATGTGGACTTCAACTCCCAGAATTCCACAGCCAGAAATGCTGGCTGTGGAATTCTGGGAGTTGAAGTCCACATGCCTTAAAATTGTCAAGGTTGAGAAATACTGCCCTAAGTTGACATTCTGGCTTCAATTGCTGGAAAAAAACTCTGGAATGCCTTCCTGCCATTGTGAGATGAAAACACACACAAATCCTATAACATAAGCAATAAAATAAGATTTTTTTTGTTTTAAAGAATTCTTCAAAAAAGGAGGGAAGAAACTTGAGAGAACTTAAAACCTCGTTTGTATCCATGTGATGAGGTGTTATTCACTTTGAGTTATTGTCCCATTTATTCTATCCTTCAGCCCCAGCCCAAATATTAAATCAGGTTCTTGGCTCCCAGAAGTTACCCTCTTCTAGTCTGTTCAAAGAGTTATGGAATCAGTTCAAAGAAAATAGCAGCAAGGTTTCCAGCACTGAGGGATAAAAAAATATTTGTGTTTTTTTAAATACTGTAGGATCAGAAGATTGTCCAGTCTAATCTTCATCCTGTAATTGTTTAGATTTTTTTAATCATCACCCCCATCTCCCTCCTCATCCCCAATCCATGTATAAAATCTATATTCTGCAATAGAAAGTTGACATACTGCATAACAAGTGTCTATGGGTGTCAGATGAGGCATAAAGGGAAACCATACACTAGAACGATTATTCTGGGGAACTTTTTATGTCTGGATTATGATGAGTATTGATAGCTTCCCAATTTGTCTGCCTCTGTTTTTTTTACCTCTTAAGGCAAAGAAGGGTGATTTTTCCTCCTCCTCCTGTCAAAACGATCCTACCCTTTCCTTCCAACATAAGATGAATGGTGGATTGAATCAGTTCCAGACACTGCTATGATAAGAACATGAAATGAAACCTTCCAGGTCTGGTAAAACTTCCAGCAGTAGCATTTCAGATATTTCTAGTAAGCCTACAAATAGAGCATGCAATCAACAGTACAGTCTGTCTCAATTCTTCTCATCATTCACTGTTAGAAGCATATTGCACCTGAATATGGATGTTTCAGTCAGGTATCACAGGTGTACACATGCATACCTTTAAAGGACCAGATTCCAGGCTTTGAATGGGGATAAATATTCAGGACGGCACTTACAGTAATTGAAGAAGCTCAAGGAGTGATAAGGGTAGTAGTTATTACCAAAAGTAGCTGCCTGGATTTACTTTATAGCAGGCGGAGGAAACCTCAACCCTCAACAATGAAGCTGTAGGAGATGACCAGGCTGAGCGAGAGGGAGGGGTCAAATGTGTCAAATGTGTGGACCACAGTATCATGCTGCGGCGTTTGGGTGGGTTGGGAGTGGGAGGCACGGTTATGCGGTGGTTCTCCTCCTTCCTCACCGATCGTACGCAGTCTGTATTGGCAGGGGGACAGAGGTCGACCCCAAGGCCCCTAACTTGTGGGGTGCCTCAAGGGTCGGTCCTCTCTCCACTCCTGTTCAATATTTATGTGAAG